TCTAATCTGCACGCCGGCATGTCACAACTGGCAAGGACTCTACGCGCAGAGATTCTCCCTCGGTTTCATCGAGTCAGGAGTCAGCCCGATGTTCATGTTGGTCGTGGGTCAGTTTTATAAAAAGAATGAGCAAGCCCTGCGGATGGGGTGAGTGGGTTTTTTTGTTCGCCCGTCTAATCTCAGCACTGGATCGAACAAGACTGACTCCGGAATAGTGTCTGGTACTGTGCATGCGGCTACGTGTCTATTTTCTCGCCTCTGATCAACTACGGGTTTGGGCATGTCCAGGGTGCACTGTCCCCGTGGCGCTACATGTATCTCTTTGCCGGTTCCATCACCATTCTCTGGTCAGTGGTGGTCTACTATTACCTCCCTCCTGATCCGATCCGCGCGAAAGGATTCACCGAGCGCGAGCATTTCATTGCTGTGAGTCGGCTGCAATCGAATAACTCGGGCGTCCGCAACACACATTTCAAAAAAGAACAAATGATTGAACTCCTGTTCGACCTCAAATTCTGGATCATGTTCTTGATGACCCTGTTGGCCATGTTTGCCAATGCTCCGGTTTCGACATTCACCCCTCTGATTATCTCCGGATTCGGATTCAACACACTCAACTCTCTGCTCTTGGTGGTCCCCGTTGGGTTTTTCACGTAAGTTGAGCCCCCGGGACCGTCGATGATGCTTCAAGCTTACCTTTCGTCTCAAGTGGTACCGCCGAATTGGTCATTCCCTACCTTGCCTACAAGTATACGAACATAAGGACATATCTCGTGGCGGCATCTGAACTGGTTACCGTCCTCGCCGCAGTCCTGCTCTGGGCTCTCCCGAGACACGCCATTGGGGGCCTGATGTTTGGGGTAGTCATCCTTCCCTGCTTTGCTGCCGGATACGTAATTCAATTGGGACTTCAGATCGCCAACACAGCGGGCTATACTAAGCGATCTTTGGCTTCGTCGGGGATTTTCGTTGCCTATTGCATTGGTAAGAAGCTTTTACAGGACAAGAGAGATTGGACGCACTGCACTGGTCCGGATGCTGACTGGGACTTTGGCAGGTAACTTTGTGGCGCCTCTTACGTTCAGAAGTCAGGACGCACCAATTTATGCACCAGGGTTGGCGACGGTGGTTGGCACGTCGATCGCCGTGGTGGCCTTGTCCATGTTGTACCGATTTGTCTGTATCAGGGACAACCGCAAGAGAGATGAGACCGGCACATTTGAGGCTTTTGACCATGCTTACGAGGATGACTTGACCGACAAAACTGTAAGTGGTCCTCCTGCGCACACGACAAGCATGCTCCCACAGTTGAGCACGTCGAGGTATGAACGATCTGACCAGTCTGGCACACAGAACCCGCAGTTTCGGTATATTTTGTAGGTACCGGGATGAGATAGGAAAGCTGGATGATTTGCTCTCGGTCGTTGCAGGGGAGAGGAGGGTGAATAATTGCATTCATAACGCTAAGATCCATGCACAACAGGATGTACGGTGTCCCTCGCCGATTCTCCAGCTATCTCCGGTCTGGATTTGTGTTGCAACAGGCTCTGTCAGCACAATAATAGTAGCGAATATGTATGGCTCGCTGTTGCGCACAACTATAGTAGCCTCGACAGCACCGAAGACTCTGACTTACACAGATGTCGAGACCATGGGAATGTGATTTCGGTTTCCAAGATAGGTGCATGGCCAGTTTCCCCTCCCCTTCCCCGCGCCCGCGGGAAGCCTCACCAGCCTCCATTCTCCAGTTTTAGGTAGACTTTTGCCTGGGTCGGACAAAGATTATGCACGGACTAATAGGAGTGGCAGTGATTCCTCTGGCACAGCACAAGCGAGCTTCTCTTGGCGGTCGGCTTCCACGGCTGTCGGCACTCGGTTCTCAGGTGTGCAGCTGGCGTACTGTATGTAGGACTAATCTAGGTAGGTGAAGGTGGTTTTGAATGGGGCCGAGAAGATGCCCAGCCCCCTATTTCCTGATCGCCCGTCAGTTCCGTGCTACAATCAATTCCAGTGGAGCCGGGACTAACACAGGTATTTCAGTTCCTTAAGGTAGGTATCAACATATTGCAACCAAGCAGCTGAATGGCGAAACTCCCCCGGACCAGACGAAAGATCAAACAAATCCCTTGACAAAATGAGCCGGCTTAATGGAAAGGTCATCATTGTGACCGGGGGCGGTGCTGGATTCGGTCGTGGAGTAGGTACAGAACAGATTTCCTACGAGGACTCTACGACATCAACTGACAAGGCCGGCCGTCGATAGATTGTGCTGAAACTCGTCCGTGAAGGTGCTCGCGTCCTGGCGGTAGACTTGAATGGAGCTGAAGCTGAGCAGACGGTCAGATTATGCCCGCCCGGCTCCTGCCACGCCTGTACAGCAGACATTACCCTCGAGTCGTCGTGGCGCCAGATTCTCTCCACGGCGCGCAGTCTCTTCGATGACCGTCTTGACGTCGTGGTGAATTGTGCGGGGGTGATCCACGACGCAGCACCGTCGCACGAGGTCCCTGAGGAGCAATTCGACTTTGTCTTCAAGGTCAACGTGAAGCCACTGTACTTGAGCACCAAAGTCATTGTGCCGTGGTGGAAGGAGAGGAAATGCCCCGGCCTATTCATCAACCTGAGCAGCACCAGTGACCCGCGACCTCGTCCGTACTTTGTATGGTACGCGGCCACCAAAGGCGCCGTGACAGCTGTGGGTAGTAACTTGAACATTCCAACTTCATTCATTCATGGCTAACTGAGTCTTCTCAATCAGACGACGAAAGGTCTTGCGGCAGAGTACGCCTCTGATAACATTCGGTATAATTGCATTCGGCCTTCGATAGGGGAGACAGCCATGTAAGAAAGACTCTTGCAAAATGTAGCCAGTTCGTCGGTGATCAAGTCTAACGAAAAGGCCAGGCTATCCAAGGTGCTTGGAGACCGCGACAGCTTGGATTCGGACCGTCGCGAAAAGATCTTGGGTTCGATACCGCTGGGTCGTGTTTGCAAACCGGAAGACGTGGCGAACATGACTTGTTTCCTCGCCTCGGACGAAGCAACCTATATCACTGGCGCGGCGTTCGACGTTGATGGCGGAAGAGGAGTGAGTTGATCCCGTATCGTGAGGAGACTGATGGAAAGGATGGAGCAATGATGGTGTCAGTGGCTGGTTCTCCTCCCATCCATCGTCGATGGTCATGGTGACAGTTCGACAGTAGGCGGGATCATCTGGTTATATCAGTCGAGACAGAATCCGGTGGCATTCCTGAAATATCTACACCTCACCAACCAGGAACTGTGCTGGGTGCGCAAGGGTTTATTATTTCGACGAAGGCTTCAACTTTAGGTGGCGATCAGACTGAGAAACACATGTTATTCGAACGAAAAAAATTCCTGTAGAATGTCGGCCTAGTCCAACGGGCCTCCCCTTCTGCAGCTCATTCAGCGACTGGCAGCACATCAATGCACTCTACATATGAGTTTGCCCATGGTCTGGTTTGACTCCAACAACTCATGCGCCTTTTGGATCTCCTCCATCTCAAAGACCTTGTCGATGAAGATTTTGAACCTCCCGTCCACAAGCCTGGGCAACGCATGCTCGACCAGCAAGTCCCGCAGTTTCTTTTGGTATTCCTCATCGCGACTCCGTAAACTGCTCCCCTCGAACCTCAATCTTTTGCCTAGAAAGGGACTGATATCGACATCACCCTTCACAACTGTTCCACTCAGCCAACCCAAGTTAACGATGTGGGCATCTCTTGCCGCCGCTTTCAAGTTCTTCTTGAAATAGTCCGCACCGACAAAATCCACGATCAGGTCTGTTCCTTTCCCACCGGTGTGGTCAAGCAACGCGTCCGCCCAGTCGCCCTCTGTATAATTAAACCCCTCCGTCGCGCCGATAGACTTGCAAAATTGAATCTTGGCTTGCGTACTCGCGGTGACATAGACAGCAGACGCTCCGGCAGCCTTCGACAGTTGAATTCCAGCAATACTAACGCCACTCGCCCCAGCATGCCAGATGACGCTCTGACCTGCTTGATATTCACCGACCAGGTAGAGCGCTTGGATGGCAGTGATCCAGGTCTCAGGAACCCCGGCAGCCTGCTCCCAGCTGAGTTCTTTGGGTTTGTGAATGAGCATAGACGTGCTAACGGCGATATACTCGGCGTATGCGCCGCCATAAGCTAAGCCAAAGACCTCGTCTCCGACGCGGAAGCCTAGAGTGGAAGAGGAAGAACCGAACGAGTCAATGATGCCTGAGAACTCGACGCCCATGATCTTGGGAGCTTGGGGCGGTACCGGGTACTTGCCCTCACGCTGGAGGAGGTCCATGCGGTTGACACCAAATGCTTTGATTCTCACCAGGGCCTGATTGTGCGTGGGCTTGGGCATGGCTGTTTCGGAATTGATGAACAAGGCTGAGACGGGTCCTGTCCCGCCTCTGATGTCGACTGCACGCATGGTGGCCATGGGTGACTCGAGGAGCCTAGTTCCAGTACTTTTGTCGCTAACTCGGTTAGATCTGAAGTGATGAGTGATTTGTGGTGTGGTGGTAAAATATCAATAGATCGACATATTTGGCGATTTGGTCATCTTTTGATGGTTCAAATTTTGACGACTGTTCTTCCTGCGTCGACTGTCAGAATCGAACACACACATAACCAGGGTGCTGTGGGTCGGGACCCAAGGTCGAAATTACAGAGTAGGTGGCTCGGTAGAGCCACGCGTTGGGCTCTCTGCAGGGGAGTCTTTTCATGTCCACGCCCAATGAGAATAGAAGCGTTGTTGCGGGGCAAGGTTTCGGCCGGGTCTGGGGAGCCTGCGGTGTTGGCGAATTGATGCGGCTACCGGCTAATACCGGCTTCGGTACTCGGTAGTGGTCGAGGGGAGCTGAGCGATCAGAACTTTCGAGCCCGGTCATAAACAAGTGAAGTCAAACCACGCATGACACAAGCGAGACATGTTGTGCTTTGGAGCAGATCCTTCCTTCCACATCGTTAATTTCAACCAGAAAATCACTGGTACTGAAATATTTGATTAACGAAAACGTCACCAAAGTCAAAAGTCACGTTGCCATCGGCAATGAGACCACCGGGCAAAAAGAGGGAACTGCTGTCCATCCCTTCACCGAGACCACTTAGAATATTCGAAGTATTTCGGCGACCATCGGGACCTGCGAGAGATTCGGTTGTGATGTGTTCTTCGTTGTTCGCTTCAGAATTTGCTAACCCATCAGCGGATGGGTTGACGGAATGGGAAGAATATTGGCCAGGCAGAGTTCCGCCAGAAAGTTCCGCGCGTTTGAGGTTGCCGAGGACCAAGGCGGAACTTGGCACAGTTGCAGACAGCTCCTGCAAGACTGTCCTGACAATTGCGAGGTTGTCATCAAACCCACCTCCTTGGCCCGAAAAGGTGGCGCGAGCGCGAATTTGCACCACTCCGGCAAGGTAACAAAACCAAGCGTTGATCGGTGCCACATACAAAACGTCGTTTCTGCACTGGATCTCTTCGAAAACACGGATCATGTGTGACGCCGTCTGGACGCACTCTTCGAACGTAGCCCTGACTGAGCTCGAGACTGGTTCCACTTTCATCAAGGATAGTTGGTAGATCAATAAGCAAGCGTAATATAAAATGTGCAGCTCGGAAACTACTCGACGATAGGGTTTTGAGTCTGTGTGTTGTAGAGTCAATTCGGCAGGCAACTCGCAGACCCACGTTTCAAAGGCTTGTCCAATAGGCACGATATCTCCATAGCTCAAGTTGGGATTGTATCGTCCTTCGGCGAGTTGACCAAAAATCATGCAAAGTTTGGTCCTCTCGATGAAGATGTTGTTGTCAGGGTGTTCTTCGGGAAAGTCGCTTTGTGAAAGCGGTTGAACGTCGGTATCATGCATATGGATCATCAGCGGCCGTCCATAACAGAAGGAGACCAGCTTGTCCTGATTCTGGGAGAAATGTCAGCGCCGAGGCGGAACGAAAGTCAGGAGTACGAAGTGTTAGGGTTCATCCTTACGAAGAGATGCCACCACATCCTTCGACGGGTTCCAGCATCTTGGTTGCCGCTGTAGGTTGCTTCTTTGTGAAGACCCATGTGGATTGCATAGCGCGATGCTGCCCCTAGCCAATGCCAGAGGCTGTCTAGGCAAATCACGGTCGGTTCGGTCATGCTTCGACAGGTCATCAGACAGAGCGCCTTGAGAACCACCAATTTATTTCGTTCATGCTCTGTAGCCAAGAGCAATTTTGCCTTCAGGTAGTACTTCTTGGCCGCACTCAGCTGGCTTATGCCTCCTCGTCGGTGGCCATAGGCACTTGCAAGCATGCAGACACTGTGTACCAGCAGAGGCGACTGAAAACGCTCAAAGTCTGTGCGGTCGACAAGGGGCTGGTGGAGATGAATGTGTTCAAAGTAAGCATCGGTCAGAGCGGCGACCAGCATCTGTGAGGGCAAGGCTACTGCGCCGGTGGACAGCAGCGTCTTTGCGTAGAATTCGGCCGTCTCTGCCTCGGTCTCGTCGTCGAACTGGAGCGCGCTGGGGTTCTGAAGCATCATGCTCTCTTCTCCTAGATAGCCCACAGATCCCGGCGATGCAGACGGTGGCAGTTCTGAGCGCTCTGCCGACTGCGTGCTCGTGGCACTGGCCCGGTGAGACCGCATGTTCCGTTGCCGAACACCCACGCGAGGTCTATTGATTGTTCATTCTGCTCAGAATGGCCGCGCTCATTTCACGCGTATAGAATCAAACCTACCTGCACATGACGTTGGCCCTTTGACAATTCTGACATGTCCCGTCGGTGTGGTCTTGCAAGTCACATTTAACCTGATCCAGTCGAATCAGTAATCTCTGTCACCCGGTCTGGGGAGAGGAGCTCTTACCTTGCGCGCGTGACATTGCATGCATACCTTGGTATTGCGAGTTCGATGGCCTTCCATTGTAGTGGAGCCAGCTGTTCCTAACGGCGACCGACAGTACACATCTAGAAGGCGTCGTTGAATTGACGAATCGAACGGCTCGCCAAGATTTAGTTGAAGTAGAAAACACAAGACTGAGAGTGAGACGATGGGAGTCGAGACGTTGCAACTTGTCGACAGGTAAAAGACAGACTTCTACCTGAAGGGGCATGCGGGGCCTAGCCTAGTATGGTGGTGTGCAAACGCCCAAAACTGAGGCAAGTTTTCCGACACCTCGAAAAATGCGTGATTCCTTGTCTCAGTTCTCAGACCCATCGGCTCAGTTGCTATAAGTGGGCGGGCCCACTGTTTTGCGGAGCAAAACGCCTTCGCGAGAAGAGTCTGAGCTCCAATACGTGGTTTTGGGGTAAAAAAGCGTTCGTAGTGGAACAAGGCAAAGTGGCTGTGCAGTGCTGTGCAGGGCTGGTAGAGTGGTAGCAAAGGGGGGAGAAGTTGCCTAGTCACATGTCAAACTAAAATGGGCTGGCAGAGGAGAGTGCGGAACAGTTTACAGTGCTGGCAGAGTGCCATTCTTTACAGTTTGAGCAGAGTATCATGAATTCCATAGACTTTTGGTGCCGTCTACCTAATTCCTGAGTGTTTGATCAATCCTGTCCTGTTTCTTGATGCTGCCGCTGTGTGTTCGTAGCCCTAGCCGCTACCCCTCTGGGTGGTGTTGGTGGTGTTGCCTCGTCAGGGCCAACCAGAAACGCGTTCTCGATTCCCAATCTGCTGGACAGGTCTCTGTGCGTTGTTGCACGTGCACGCCGAACCCTGAAGTGCTCTGTTACAGTAGCGCGGCCGAACGCAGAGGAAACTCGTTAGGGAAGGTAAGATTGAGAAGAGACACAATTAGCAAGGGCTTTAAAGCGGAAACGTCGCAGTAAGGATAGCAAACCACGTTCTGGATAAACGTCCAGCCTGTGATTGCCGAGGTAGAAAGTGAATATATCGCGAGCGAGTGATGGCGTACACATATCCCAGGGGAGCAACACAAAGCCGACCTTCCGCTAGGTCTTCAAACGAAGGTCCATTCCTCATTGCTACGCAAGACAGCCTCACAGGAGGCGCCCAACTGTGTGATTCGGTGCTTTAGAAAGAGGGCCGAGTTGTGATCGCCCAGCATCTCAAACGGGTTCCATCGTCTCAAGTTGACCGAAGATGATGTTGTGGAATGAAAAGTAGGAGGACCATAAATGCTCATGCAGACTCCGGGAGCGCTCAGGGATCACTCAGGGAGCGGCAGATCAAAAGGGGGCGACGAGCGACAGGTTTGTCGTCCGATACTACCTGGGTATTTTCAGAGAACTGGGGTTTAAGTGATACCTGAGAAATGGCTCTCTGGACTTAATTGTTCTTCTCACATTCACGGCTTCCTTGGCGAGAGATACTTATGTCTGACTTAGCTGTTCATGGTTGTACATCTATTGGATGGTGCAAGCAGCTCTTCTCCGAAAGCCCTTGGCAGGGAATTCTATCCCAACTACTACAAATAGGCGGGGGCCAATCTCAACCTCTTAGAATCACACGAAATGTACTGAATTGAATCGAATCCGATTTGAGCTTCAAACGGTAAAAGCTCTGGTTCAAGCTCGGTGGAGATTAAAACCTAATGCTTACCGCCTGAAAAGGAAATTCTTAATGAGGATGAGGTTCTTTATCGCAAGTTCACGGCGCAAACCGGCACTGAGCCTTCTCGCCATCTCTATCTTCACGTCTGCAGTTTACGCGGCCCCGTCACCAAACGTAATAGAACGAGACATCCTCACAACCATAACGTCGACACAGCCCTATCAAATTCTCACAACAACTGTTACCATGAATCCCTGCCCGCAACCTTGCGGCTTCTACACCCAGCTCTGCTGCGCTGCCGATCAAATCTGCTCCACTGACGCCAACGACCTCGCTCAATGCGTCTATTCCACAACCGGCCCAACCACTCCACCGAGCTCTCCACCGAGCTGCCCACCGTGGTCCACCTCAACATACATGACAACCCTGTCCTTCAGCAGTGTCTCCACCTACGTCGTCACATACACACAGATCAAACTCGACGTCCAAGTAATCATCGGCACGGTGTCCTGGCAGGTTTTCCCCACGCCGTCGGACTGTTGCGCCCCGCCTACCCCGCAGCCCCCGACATGTGACTATGCGCGAGGCGAGACGCCTTGCGGTAATGTGTGCTGCGCTGAGGGACAGTACTGCCAGTCGGCCGGCTCGTGTGCGTCACCGACGCCGCCGATTCGGCCTACGAGTGCGACTGCCAGTACGATGACAGTGACCTTTTCGTCCTCCTTGGCTACAGTTACCTCATCTGCGACGACGGGGTAAAAGAAGCGAAGCGGAAGGGAATTCTGGGGGTTCTAGGGGTAAAACTAATGCATCGAGGAGACTAGCCTCAGCCCACAGTGACTAACTGGTTAGGGGACTATTAGTTAGGGCTCGGGATGAACGGGCGGCCTCGGTGGGCTGCTCAGGCCTGGAACAGAAATGGACTTTGGAGAGGTCAAAATTCGTTACTAATTACGTATTTTAGTATTTTCAGGGCTAAACGCATTCCATCCCGCATTCTCTTTTTCTTTGGCTCTCTTGACATGCACCCGCAATATCTTACACGATCTCGGCTTGTTTGCCGCGTGTTTTCATATATTCCCTAGTCTGTTACTTGGATTAGCCGGATTATGAGGCATTTGCAGCATCCATGAGGCCGTCATCAAGCTGATTGAAGCGGCTGCGGATGGCGAAGCCCATTCCATGGTTGCATTGGCCATATATCGCTCTGTTTCATGGTCGCCAAAGACAATGACCTCCAAGCAAGAGGACAAGACACACACGGAGGCGGACGGGGTAATTTGTCGATTGTGGTTTAGGGGTAGCTTTGGTCGAAGCAGGTTCAGAGATGTTCAAATTGAGAAGACCAACAATTGGCTCGAGGGTCCACAGAGCCGATTGACGGCTCTTGAGTGAGGACCTTATATCACGATGAAGATCACCAAAAATCCGAAAGTTGCTAGTATAGATACATGGAGCCCGGCCTCGCTAAAGTTTTAGGTCAATAGCAGAATGGTCTGAGATTCCCGTAGGACGGTGCTCCAGGATATGTGCAACTCTCCTGCATCTCGTCGTCGCCATACTTCTTTTGCAACCATTTCTGCCGCTTCCGCATTCTGGAAGCCCGCCCAAGCAGCGTGTCTCATGCAGAGGATGGCGCGACGGCGCAAGCCGTCTCCCAGCGCTTCGCAGGCAGCGATAAAGCTGGGCCACACAGTGACACCCAACCGCACTCCAGGAAAGAAGCACTGTTTGCTTTCATGATGCATTTCGAGGTTCCTGAGGATGCTTTCGACATAGTGCTGTAGTATTATAGGATTGGTGCCTCGCACAAACCGGAAGAAGTAGACCATCAATGCGTGGTGCATTGCCGTGGCGATATTTGACTTCATAGTTTGGGCAGGATCCGGAATGCTGTCGGTAGAGCGGCAGCTCAACAAAATGTAAGTGTCGCCGTTACTTTCGGCTTGCCTTTGCGGTGTCTCCCAGTGACAAATGTCCCTTTCCAAGGCTGCGGCGTCCTCGATTAAATTTGCGGGAATATAAGGCTGAGCGGTCCCATGGTGTTGCGGCGAGTCGATCTGGGTAACCATATTGTTCGTTCTAGCGATCAGCTTTAAGGTGGATGCAGGCATACCATAGAAGTCGTTGAAGGTTTCTTCCTCAGGCCCACTCAACCCAAGATCGGACCAGGTCTCATAGTCCGACGCGAGAATTGCTGAATGGGGAAAGCTGCCCTCCGGAATCTTCTTCACAAGTTCTATTTCGTTGGCAAGCATGGGTTTTTTGCCTAGGGTTACGAGATACTGATCCCTCGTCTGGACGAAGGTCGTTTTTTCAATAACCCTGATGTAAGCAAATATTCTGTGCAGTTGCAGTGCTTTGGCAGAGAACGACCCCTTCTTCCTACCAATATTGTTGACAATCTCTTCACATTGGAGGATGAATAGTCGTGAATCCCATGGATCCCCGCTCACGATCTTCAAACCTGTCAGTTTAGAACATCTGTAGTCTTTTCAAGATCTTGTGAAGGCAGACGTACCCCGGTACAGATAAGATTCATTGCGCTCACAAACATCTCCTTGTATTTCACCGGTTCTATTTGCTCCGTCGACATTGCATGCATGCATTTTCGAAACGCTGTTCGCGCTATCTCTCTGAATTTGAGACCTTGAGAGTTCCAATACTGCAACTTCGATGCCTGGTCGTCGTTCAGCAGGACCTCGGCATTAGGTCTAATTTCGGTAGGAACAGGCCTATAGAGAGTACCAAGATGATAGCACGTCAAGGAAAGAAGGCTGTACAGGAGCGAAACTCTGGCGAAGCTTGACTGGCCCATAATATCCAGCTCTCCGTACGCAGTCATAGCATACGGCACATGAATATTCTTCCAGGGAGCTTCCGTGTGAGGCAACCCAGAAAGGGAGGCAATCACATGGTTCATATAGTGAGACAATAGAAATCGGACGTTTGAAGGTACATATGGTGATCCATTGGACAGGGAGGATACTAAAGGGTATCCGTAGGTAGCGAATCTTGTAAATCCCGGTCGAGTAAGGTGAATGTCATCTGGGACGGAAGAGGGGAAGTTCGGTAGGTTAGTGCCTGATGCGTTAAGCAAAGATCTTTCAACAGTTTTACGTGGCACCTACCTTCAAATAGCGAACCATATCCGGTGTTTATAAAAGGGTAATTGCAGCCTTCTCCAGGAGAGACTTCGGCGAATAATGTCGAAGGCCCTATGTTGCTGTCCGGCATCGACAACGACCAGTCAATGCCCTCTAGGCATGCCGTAGATTCGCGTTCACCATTAAGTGAACTTGCAGGCAGAGGATGCCGCATCGTCATTTGCCTGCCGTTTGGCGCGTTGACATTTTCAAGGTCGGGTACGAAGTGCAAGACTGAAAAGGGGCCTTGGGATATCTCCCAGCTTTTTTCGCCACGAGAACTCTCAGACTCTTTTACCTGCTCATCAAGCTGTTCGAGAACCTGGTCGAGGTGCTGTGGTTTTTGTGTAGATGAAAGATGCCGGACCAGGTCGTCAGAGAACTGAGACCTTGAATGGGCTGCGGTAATCCTGAGTGTCCAGGTCGGCAGAAGCTCTTGAGATTGCACGTACCATCAAATATCTCTGTTCGAGTGCGGCGGCCCTCTGCCCCTTCCACTGTGGATTTGCCTAGTGAGGTCGGGTCAGGCTGTTCTGGATCCCACATAGGCAGCCATTGTAGCTGCACTTGGTAGCCACGACATCGCTGACCCAATCTCACACAATTGTTGCAACTTGGGCGACGCAAGTCGCATTTCACTTTGCGGCTACGGCATGTCAAACACCCTGTGAATGTGCGCGTCCTCACTTTCGTTGCTGGGGGGGTCGCTTGTGCCATGAAGTTGGATCATCTTCTGGGGAGTTCGCCGGGAAGAAGATTCAAAGTGCCAGATGTTTGAGGAATAAAGAAAAGGGAAGGCTTCGGCGACGATAGGATATTATTGGTGGTTGCTTATCGTAGCCTCTCCAAGAAGGGCGGGCCTTGCCTTTGAAATTCGGTAGCTCAGTTTGGCTGGCAGCTTGCCGAGTTGTCTGGACAGGTGATCCGATAGAATCAGCGGGGCGCAGAAGCACACCACTTTAAGCTTGGACTTTGTTATTACGTACAAGACACCCTTAGCCTCAAAATCCCAATGCTAGAATTTGGGATAGTCTTAACAAGGAATCCTTGGTCAATTCAGACTCTTCAAGGACCAGTTGATAAATGACGCAAGTAATTCCGCTCCTCTATCCTCCCATACTTTTGTTAGCTCTTCGTACTTGGGTCCTAGGACACGATGCTGTACGAGCAGGATGCCTTCGGAGGGGCCAGTCGTATATCTAAAGGGTATGTGAATGCTAACCTATAGTACTGACCACGTCGAGGAAGGACATTATTCTGACATAGGATATGCAGCGTCAAGCCTCTCAATTATAATCTCAACATCTTCAACATAGAATTTGGGGGAGAGTGGCAGTACGAAGGTCTGGTGGTAATCGATGCTGAGGCGTGTGTCCCTACGGATCGAATCATTATCAATGCCAGCCAGATCGAGATATGTCGCTCTGAAGTTTCATTTGCCTGCAATGGATCCTCTTGTACGCCCACAGAATAATCCGGCAGCTCTTGCTATCGGCAGCTGTGCTAAGTTCGCTCAGTAACATATTCCGCCACTTCGGTAACCTTCAACAAAAATGACCAACAAGTGTGTATATCGTTTCCAGACACTGTCCCGAAAGGATGCTTGCAGTTGAAGATTTCATTCAGGGGAAGAATCACCAACTCAATGAACGGCTTTTGTCGTGCTAGATACGAATCTCAATCGGACCCTAACGCGGCGTGTGTCAAGGTTGGAAAGTATCACTATCAATTAACCACTGACTTTGAGCCCTGCCATGCAAGAAAAGCCTTCCCTTGTTTTGACGAGCCTCATCTAAAAGCAACCTTTGAGCTTGAGTTGGAGATCCCGGCAGAATTGACGGCACTAAGCAACATGCAAGAGAAGTCAGCTCGCATCCTGGGCAGATCCAAGAGCGGCCTGAAGACTGTGCGTTTTCAGAAGACACCAGTCATGAGTACATATGTAAGCAATGTGGCTCTCTTGAGAATGTGATTGCAAGCTAAAGTTTTGTCAGCTATTATGTTGGGCTGTGGGTGATTTTGAGTATATAGAAGCATTTACAGAAAAAGAGCATGGGGGGAGAAGAATACCCGTCAGGATCTATACTACCAAGGGTCTAACACAATATGCGCAGTTCGCGTTACGAGATGCTTGCAATACCCTCGACTTCTTCAGTGAGAGCTTTGGGATTGACTATCCACTGCCGAAATGCGATCACCTGGTTGTGCACGAGTTTATCTCTGGTGCCATGGAGAATTGGGGCTTAATCACTTACAAACCAACCAAGATACTTTTTGATCCGTCGACTTCAGACAATAGGCTCATGTCCAAAGCTTCATATGTCGTTGCGCACGAGTTGGCCCATCAGTGGTTCGGCAATCTGGTTACCATGAGTGGCTGGAACGAACTCTGGTTGAATGAAGGATTTGCAACATGGGCGGGCTACCTTGCAGTGGACCATCTTCATCCTAGTGAGATAAGTCTGAATCCCTCTGATGAGCCCTCGCGGACTAATAAATTGTATACAGAATGGAATATCTGGGGCCAATATGTGGTAAGTGTCCGAGTCCTTTGGTAACTCGTTCACAATTCATTAAGCGACACACAATAGGATGAAGCTCTAGAAGAAGCATTCGCTCTGGACTCCCTGAAGTCTTCACATCCACTGGTGTCACATGTCGAGCACGATGCCCAGGCACACCAAATGTTCGACAGCATCACTTACTGCAAGGGCAGCGCCGTCATCCGCATGCTAGCTGGGCACATTGGTCTGGATGTCTTCCTGAAAGGCATCGCTGCTTACCTGAAAAGCCGCTCATACCAGAATGCCACTTCGAATGACCTCTGGAAAGCTCTATCTGAAGCATCTGGAGTAGATGTTGCAGCTATTATGGGCCCGTGGATCCATGAAGCAGGATTTCCAATTGTCACTGCTGTGTTTACTTCGAGCCAACTTCAGTTGAAGCAACAACCATTTCCCACACAAACTGCACAGCATCAAAAGACGCGTTGGCGCATTCCACTGGGACTGGAAAGCGTGCCTCCCACGAGGGCAGATAGCATCCTGGCTGCAGAGTCGGGTAGTGTCAAGCAGGTTTCTTCTTTGCTGAAACTCAATAAAGACCATGCTGGCTTCTATCGAACCGAGTACCCCTATGGCTACTTTATGTCGTTTACCCAATTGTCATCAAAGCTGTCGCCGGCCGACAAAGTGGGAATCGTTACTGACTTGGCGTCGTTGGTGTTCGCTGGTGTGAAGTCTACGGGCGAGTTATTGTCCTTGCTAACCAGCTTTTGGCAGGAGAAAGACTGTTTTCTCTGGTCGCAGATAAGAAAGTCTGTCGCTATGGTTCTTTCATCCATTTCTGATGACCCACAAGTTGCCAAAGGGCTTAAGACTTACATTCGCCAACTTATGGGGGCTGTCAAGTCTGAAATCACCTGGACCGGCTCAGCCGACAGCTATGTCAACGGCGAGTTGGAGAAGAATCTGATCCACCTCGCAGCTATAGCCGACGACGAGGATGTCCTTGCTGAAATCAAGTGGCGATTTTCGTGCTGGAAGGATGGCGACAAAGACCCTATCAACCGGAATCTGCAAGCTCCTATCTTCGGCATCTCGGTTGCGAGGGGCGGAGAAGAAGAATATCAGGCGATCAAAACCGAATATTCCAGAAACCATACAATGGATGGACGCGAGATCTGCATCGCCGCTATGGGAAGAACGAAACTTCCAGCTATGGCCCGAGACTTTCTGGACTTTACATTCTTATCCGATGACCACGTTACGCTACAAAACATTCACTTCGTTGGGATGGCCTTGGGTAACGGACCCTGCGTTGAGGTACTGTGGGAATATATAAAAGAGAACTGGGACGTAGTCTACGAGAGACTCCGAATCAACAGCGTTGCTTTGGAGTGGTTCATTGACAACGCTCTCCGCAACCTCGACAACCTAGAGGTGGAAGAAGATATTGGTCAATTTTTTGCAGCAAAGAAGCTTACAGAGATGGATCATCCCGTTGATATTGTGAGGGACAGCATTAGGAGGAATGCGACATACAAGGCACGTGCGGGACTGGAAGTGTCGCAATGGTTGGAAGAGAACGGGTTCTTGGGATCGGAGACCTGCAAGTTATAGACGGCTGTGTCCTTCGAACCTGGGTCCGGTTTTCTGTCTCTAGCCACCTGTTTGCCAGCTGCATCATGAAGCCTCGCCGTTTTCCTGTTCGCTGTCAAAGTACCACCTGTACCTGGTCACAGTCTTCTCAATTGCAGCCTCATAACTGACTGTTACTTGTTTCATGATTACTCTCGACGCAGATTTGGACGAGGCTGCTTGTGATTGTCGGCTAGTTAGCAGGACGATCATGAGATAAGTGGACATGTAGATACTGCTGTGAACAGGCTAGCATAGTTGCAGGTGGAAAGTCAAATTTCAGTCCTCGCCCACGCCTTCCAGGATGGTGATATTCGCTCTGTGGAGTTTGCAAAGGATATTCTAGTTATACTATCTTTCGATACGAGAACCCTCCCCTGAAGTACGGCCGTCAAGATATGGGCCTCGTCTCGGCCGTGGTGGGAGTGGTCGCCTGATCGCGTGCTTAATATGGTTGTTTGTGAGTGGGAGTGCCCATATCAACGCGGATCTCTATCTTTGCAAAGCGTTGATACTGAGTCAGGCGATGCCTGGTTCATTGTTTGCTAAGGCCACAAATTTAGCCAAACAATGAAGGGATCACTTCGCGACGACTGTGGTGGGACTTCCGCTGGCCGGCGGAGCTGGAGACGACTCGGTAGCATGATGTGAGTGTGAATCCCTTCCTCGGGAAAACACAATTTAGCTAGTGAGTTCAAATGAACGGGAAAAGCTCGCAGCTGCCCGCGCAATCAATACAACTATAGCTTTGCACTAGAATCCCTGCCACAATTCGGATAGCATTAAGCGTCATATATCCCCTTTTCAGGCATAACCTTTGACCCTGAAACATGAACAGTCTCGATATTTGCTCCGCATGACTCTGAACCCGTCTGCCCCTCTTCTTGGCCATCGATAAACGACTCGAGGAGGGTAGTCGTAGGATATTGGTAAGGGAAAATCCAGTGTAACGAGTAGGAAATGATGGCGGCTATGCCACCATAGGTCAGCGAAAGGTTCAGCCCCACGAATCCAGTTTGACCTACCAAGGACAAATCCAAGCACAAAGGAAAGAGAGAAGATCCGAGTAGCGCCAGTGCCAACCATCAGTGATGGGTTTACGGCGTGGACAAATCCCGGCATGCTAGGTACAACGGCGCAAACCCAGGCCACGCACGTGCGCCAGTTGATGCCATATTTGTACCAGTACAAGGACTTCTTGGACCCTTCGTACAAGTCAGGGATATGGAAGAGTCGTCTTTGGATGATCCAATAGTGGACGCAAAGCAACCCGATCATCGGGCCCAGGAAAACAGCATAGGCTGAAAGAACGGACAAAAACCTATAGCACCAATTGTTAGTCGAATAAAATTGTGGGTACTAGCTAATCACTCACGTCGAACCCGAAGCCAGTTGTTTCCAAGGAAC